GAATAATGGGCATAAAGATATATTTTTATTTCGTGTCGGTTTGGTATATTTTTTAATTTCTTTCGAAACCAGTTGAACAAAGCGTTCCTGGCGACATCCGCAGGTTCGGACCAATTCTGGCAATAGGTCTGGAGGACAGGTCAGATCCATTCGAAATGTGCCGCAACTTGCTGGTTTTTACGGCCTCGGTTTTGTTTTGCAACGTAGTGACGCAGAACACCGGGGAATATTTACAGCCTCTTCTTTCGGAAGGTATGTAGATTTTTAATCGAACATTCTATAGTTATGGTTTCTGTTATTTCGTGGTGTTAAAAAACATCACTTTTTGTTTGTATACCATGATATAAATTACATAAATATCATTTTTATCCACAATCACCCTAAAATCGGACGCACACATATGAATAATAATAAACCTATAATAAATCAAATTTAATTTATTTACTTATTAACATTAATATTTACATTTATTTATAGTAGTAATAGACATTTCGTTTTTTTTGTTTTGTTTTATCACATTTAAGTTCCTTTCCGTTAATAACAACCCTTGTAGCATTGTTGCCATCATTTTCGGAACGCATCTGCCGAAGTTTGTGAATAATTTACACAAGTTACAAGTCTTTTCTTGTAAGGAACAGCAATATTTTCCTTGCAATATCAAGTTTCCTCAACACATCTTTCTGCTACTAAGTTGACTTTACACACGTTGTGATGTGACAGGGTGGTAAATGTAAATTTAGAAGCTCTGTAAGGAGCATTTGCAAGACACAGAAAATTCAACAATTTCTGTTATTTGTAATTACTTTCACTTGTATATTACGGGATCGACAATTGCATTGTAAAACATTTTAATAAACCGGTGTATCGAAATTTCGTAATTCTTCTTAGAGTGTTGTATCGTGACTGTAACAGTTTATTAAACAATTGCATTAGGTATTTCATTCTTGCGTTTGCAACTAATTTGATATTTACTAAATAATGGATAAATCGTGATGTATATTAAGCTAGTTAGTTGGATTAATTAAGAAGTTAGGAGACTCAGCATTGCGCTTCATATGAAAATGTCAGCTGCCAAGGAATCCATGCTTTACTAATCTGATTCGAAACACATCGCAAACGTTGTAATAATGTGCAATGCAGGCTCTTTCTGTGTTTTTTTCCTTGAATTTTTGATGGCTTTGATTAATAAAATGATGATCTTAAAAATTATCTAAGTTTACTGACCGAACTTTCTAAATATCCAAAGACGTCGAAATATTAGTCCACATGAAGGCTAAATGAGTTGAAATTTTCAATTTTTCTATTTTATTACCAGAATTTGTTTATAGAAGAATGTAAATTTAATGTATTTTTTATTATTATGAAACAGAAATTATCGATTTTAGAAGCCATGAATACTTGCATAATAATGTGTATTATAAACATCTTGAGCGACCTGCGCCCACTTTTTTCATGCAGTTATAAAATGAAAGTTCAAGAATTTTTGACTGGAAAAATATGATGTAATTCTCATAGCAATTGTATATGTGTTTTTCCCAGATACGGGGTGATACAAGAAAGAAACCTCTTCCGTTTTGGAACCTTTACCTTAAAAAAATGTGTATCACATCATTGATGTGATGATTTTGAGGCAATTTGCAAAAATGTTTGTAAATTGTCAAATAAATTTTACTCACTAAAAATTAGAGTCACGTTTTTTGAGCTAAACACTTCATAATCATGATCAAAATGGATAAAAATAATTTATTGAGGTTTTCTCACATTTTTACCGCAAATAACGTTTAAAATGATGAAAAAAACTTTTTTTAATTTTTTTTTCAGAGATTACAGACTGCACAAAAATTAATTAGAAATTTGTCTCAAAAAACGGTATGAATCGGGGTCGAAATCTGGTTTGGGTCATCAACTTTAATTTTATTTTAATTAAAACTTGATGAACAGAAGCATAGGACGGAAAAGTCGAATCGTGCTGGAAACAATTGGATTTTGTTTTCTTCAATCTCCGGAAGGTTTCCAAAAAAAATAAAAAAAAACAAAAATTCGAAAATTTTTCGAATTTTTTTTTTCATCATTCATTTGCCGTAAAAATGTGAGAAAACCTCAAAAAATATTTTTTCCATTTTAATTATGATTATGTGTTTAAACTCAAAAAACGTGATCCTTTAATTTTTAACAAAAGTTTGACTGTTTGAAACATAGAAACGGTTTTCTAGATCGAGATGAAACTTCACAGGGTTCTTCTGTACGACCATTTTTCGCCGAGATATCGATGATTGAAGACAAAAGGATCCTTTTCCATTAAAAGTCCGATATTTCCATGAAAAATGGTCGTATCGAAATTTAAAAAAAGGAAATTGAAGCTGAAAGCTTAGGCTTAGCTGAGAAAAAACGTTTTTCCGTGTACTCGGAAAAAAAAATTTGCAAAATTTTTTTTGTTGCGCTATTTCTTAGAATTACATAATAACCATAGCTCCTAAAAAACTTCGACCGAAAGATTTAAAAACTAGAATCTTAGAGCTTCAACGTGCTTTTTTTTATTCCCGATACGACCATTTTTCACTTAAATACAGTCTGTCAAAAATCACGGAAAAATTTCGGAAATTCTTTTGACTCTTTATTTTTTTGCATTAGTGTATGTACTTTCCTTATGCTTAATATTATTTCAAAGCTTAAATTGTTTGTTGATAAACTTGAGCTGAAAAACAAATCCTGAATAACTAACATCAGTATCAACATAAGTAGGTATACATTAAATCTTATATTCTGTCACGTTCTTACAATCTACTACATTTTCGATTAAAACCACAATTTTGCACGTACAAATACGGTTTCCTTTTACTTGCAAAATGTCATTATATTATATTCGACGTTATGTAAGAACTATGGAGTTTATTAATTACAGAACAGTCTTATCAACGAAAAATCATTAAAAGGAAGGCGTTTTGTGGTAGCAGAAGCCATCGAAATCGATGTATTGAGTCAGAAGGGAGCTATTTTGAATAAAATAATAAGTTTTGACAAAAAATTGATATTTTTTAAAAATTCCTGTTTAGTTTAGTACACCTTCTGTAACGTTTCCACGGCAGAATATTCCTCAAACGAAATTTTATGCAAATTCTTTGCTCAACAAAATCGGACATAGTAAAAATCGATAAACGCACTTTCGTATGTTTACAAAAACACGACTAGCTCTGCAGCAAGTGAATATATTGACTTGAAACTCTGCATAGATATCAAGAAGAGTACTACCAACCAAGTCAATATGGATATGAAATACTGAACAACAATTTTTCTTCTTGTGAAGCGTGCATCACAAGCTAATTCTACTTATTAGTTTATATACAACTTATTAGTCCAATTAAATAAGTCTTTAAATCGGAATTTTTGTCAACTTGCCTGAATTTTTGATATGAGTTAGTTTGAGGTATATTATAACAATAAGTGACAGTAATTTTTTGTTCAACCCCCGGCCAAGGGCGAAAAAAGATAAAACAAAGGGGTTTTTCAACATAACTGAAAAAGGGTAAGGGCTATAAAAAAAAGTTTCTCATAAAAGTTGTAAATCATACAATTCTACATAAAAATGGCCTCTTGACTTTTTCTTGTANCAACACATCTTTCTGCTACTAAGTTGACTTTACACACGTTGTGATATGACAGGGTGGTAAATGTAAATTTAGAAGCTCTGTAAGGAGCATTTGCAAGACACAGAAAATTCAACAATTTCTGTTATTTGTAATTATTTTCACTTGTATATTACGGGGTCGACAATTGCATTGTAAAACATTTTAATAAACCGGAGTATCGAAATTTCGTAATTCTTCTTAGAGTGTTGCATCGTGACTGTAACAGTTTATTAAACAATTGCATTAGGTATTTCATTCTTGCGTTTGCAACTAATTTGATATTTACTAAATAATGGATAAATCGTGATGTATATTAAGCTAGTTAGTTGGATTAATTAAGAAGTTAGGAGACTCAGCATTGCGCTTCATATGAAAATGTCAGCTGCCAAGGAATCCATGCTTTACTAATCTGATTCGAAACACATCGCACACGTTGTAATAATGTGCAATGCAGGCTCTTTCTGTGTTTTTTTCCTTGAATTTTTGATGGCTTTGATTAATAAAATGATGATCTTAAAAATTATCTAAGTTTACTGACCGAACTTTCTAAATATCCAAAGACGTCGAAATATTAGTCCACATGAAGGCTAAATGAGTTGAAATTTTCAATTTTTCTATTTTATTACCAGAATTTGTTTATAGAAGAATGTAAATTTAATGTATTCTTTATTATTATGAAACAGAAATTATCGATTTTAGAAGCCATGAATACTTGCATAATAATGTGTATTATAAACATCTTGAGCGACCTGCGCCCACTTTTTTCATGCAGTTATAAAATGAAAGTTCAAGAATTTTTGACTGGAAAAATATGATGTAATTCTCATAGCAATTGTATATGTGTTTTTCCCAGATACGGAGTAGTAAAAGAATGAAACCTCTTCCGTTTTGGAACCTTTACCTTAAAAATTTTTTTGTAAATTGTCACATAAATTTTGCTCACTTTACAAAGTAACTTTAAGTGCGTTCATTTTAAGAAAATGTTCGACCATAAGTTAAAAAATATCGATCACTACAAAGAGAAAAACTTAATGAATAGTCTTTATTTGTTAAACGCTACATTTTTTGCGCGGTTTCACGAACTTTCGACACGCCCTTGAGCGGTCCGCTGCTGAAACTAATGACAATGCTACTCCTAAGCAAACCGTGCAATTTTTTGTGAAAGTGGCTGAAACAGATCGCATTAAAATTATCAGTGTTGTGTTTAAATTTAACGAATCGTTCTACCTGCTCATTATTTTCCTTTAACAAAACTATTAACATTGCATGCCCATATAATGTCTCTTTTAAGTATAATTGTAATATTTATGGTAATTAACGAACCATAGAAATATGTTTCCTTTGCCACAACACTGACAATTGTGATGCTTTCAGGTTTCCACTTGGACTTGCGCGAAATACAAAGACAGAATCAGATCACGACGCAGATCTTACAGAATTATTTGGAGAAGAGGCTTTTCGGGGACAACCGCTCGTCTAAGCCGCCCAGTCTCTGGGAGATACTGCCGAGGAGCAGAAGAAAACCCACGAACAACATACAGGAGGTGATCAATGGAACGCACGGGGAGAAGGAGACGCTGCAGAGCGTCGAGTCGGAGAGGGTATCGGCGTATGAGGACTACCAGGACGACGAGGAATTCGATGAGAACGAAGGCAGGATATTTTTCATTTTTATTAATATTATGCCTCTAAAAAATGAAGGCTAACTTGATTAGTTTGCGAAATAATTGAAAAAAATCCGTTTTTGTTTCATTTCAGCCTTGTTTTATTAACTAGGTGGATTTCGACACTTTGAGTGTACGATAATTCAATAAACAAAGAAATCCAAGTAAAAAATTTAGATAAATTTGGAACGAATACACTGAAGATGAATTTTTCGAGACAAAACGTCTGAATTTGGTTGGAACTGAGGCAGGACAGTATTGAGGCTCATGAAGGCTTGCAAAAAATGTAATAAAATTTCCAGAGTCGTATTTAAAAAAATGAAGTTGATGATGGTCTTGGGGAGACGAAACGTTACATATAAAAATTGATTATGCCATTCGATAGAGGGCAAAAAGTTGCCAGAGAAAGTGTTTTTCTTTTTTCAATACCACCTCAAACAAGGCTGAAATGAAACAAAAACGGATTTCCAAAGTTTCGTTTTTTTTTCAAATATTTCGAAAACTAATCATGTTAGCCTTGATTTTTTTGAGGCATAATGTTGGTCCCCTGCTTACGAAACTTTGCCTCCATTTAACCTACTTCGTATTTCTTACCGTTTTCGAGATCCCTGTAGTGAGAAGCGAAGTTCGTTTATTTTCTGAACAGACCCTGTACGTTAGTCATTTCCAAAGTCTAAGCAGAAAAAATTTCCAAGAGTTTCTTTAATAAATATGTTCATCAAAAGAAAGTCGCTGGCGCGGAAACTGGAAATGTGGAATTTTCGAGAGAATATTGCTCTTAAAAAGCTCAAGTTTTATTTAAAAACACTTTATTCGGAATATTTTTAATGTACCTACCCATTAACAGCATAATTATTATTCTTTATTAATGGACTGGGACTAAATGTGAGCAACCAAACAGAAAAAAAAAACTGGAAAAACTGCATTATTCACCTTCACCAAGTGATCATCTTCGTCATGACATTTAACATTTGAATCGATTTCAAAATTGTATTTTTAGCGGTTGTTTTTTTTTAACCCACAAATACAGGTATGGGGTGTTACGCAAGACACATCCGACACTATTAGCGGTAAATACCTGTAACGTATAATTCGTCTATGTTTTTTTTTGTATAAAATATCCACCTTCTTAATTATTGCACAGTGAATCACTTGAAATCTTAAAATTAATGGAATTTTGACTTTCCCGCTTGCGTAGTAAATTTAAAATATGGACAAGGTTTCAATGCAGAGTGAGGAGGCGCACCTTCCTTTTTGTTTACCATAATTATATTTATTATTACAAAATTGTAGGTTAATCTGATTTCACTGAAAACTGGTTTCTAAAACTACTAATTTCGACCATAATTAATTAGGTCCGTTTTGTAAATTTTGTTCGATGTTCAAATTTCGAGTTGAAAATAGCTTTAACATATTGATATGAAGAGGAAAACAATAAAAAACTGCCGCTTTAGCCGTAAGTCATAAACGTCGTTTTATACTACCAATTAAAAAATTAGATTGTCACCTTAATTAGACAATATTTTTATAAGTGTCGTAATGGATCTTTCGAAAAGACAATTAAACAAAAAGTCAATTGCAAGTGGTGATAATTATCAATTTAAAACTACTTTTACGAGCCATTTAAAAATAGCAGTCGTAAAAAGATTTAAAATATGTTTGTGTATATAGAAGACTCGTTTTTTTTGTTAGTGGATAATTTTACAGAATTGGATATTAACCAGAACTATAGTCATTAAAAGATTGGCAGACTGCATAGCCAGATTTCTATTATATAATTTATGTGTATTATATTAAAAATAAATTATGCCACATTTATATCACCCATGAAATTATATTGTTAAACATATTTAGACGTCTATTTTAATTCCAAAATGACAGTATACATATATTAACATTATTTTATTTATTCTTATTTAATTAAAATATCTGTATACAACGTGGTCCGTTTTTCATGGCTCACCATTAGCATCTGGGAAACTAAAATAAACCAAACCGTTCCTGAAATATTGTGAAAAAACTGAAAATAGCGATTTTAGACAATGCCATCTAGCGTCCTTATTTCACAACAGAAAGAGCTGAAATTTGGTACTGGGGGATAAAAAGATACGAGGACAAAACAAAATTTCTACGGCCACTAGTTTCAGTTATGCAACATTCAATTGTTTTTTTTTATGGGCGCCATAGCTATTGGATCTTGTCAGTAAAACATATAGGATAAAACAATTGAATGTTGCATAACTGGAACTAGTGGCCATAGAAATTTTCTTTCGACGAACATGGATTGTTCATATCTTCTTATCCCCCAGCTCAAATCAAATTTCAGCTCTTTCTGTTGTGAAATAAGGACGCTAGATGGCATTTTCTAAAATCGCCTATATATCTTACGTTTTCTCAGATGCCAATGAATTACTAGATTGTGAAACACTTGTTTTCTCATCTTAACATCATGCAATTTTACCAAATTATAATATCCAGGCTAAATAACGACATTATTAATAATCAAATAGCCGTGAGTATTTAGTTTTATACACAATTCCAGTACGTTTATTATATGCTTTTAGTGTTACCTTCGTGACCTCATCATTAAATTAGTTTTCCCAACTTTGATTATTATCTCGAGTTGTGCTTGATCGAAACTGTTTGTACGTAATTTACACCTACGCAATCTTAACAGTCTTTATTTACATTAAGAGAAAATTAATTTCTCTTTTCAGATTAAATATATTTGTGCCGACGTACGTAATATGTCACAGTTTCACTTTGCAGTTTACCCTCAGACCTATGTCTTTATATGATGTTACGCTTTTAACCATTTAAAAGATATATTAATTTATTTCTCAAAAAAACTCAAAGAAAAAACGCCTTCAACGCGAGCTCCATTAACTTTTATTGCAGAATTCAAATCTTGCTTGAATTTTGGGACGCCTGATATCTACCTACCTATTAATATAGTTCTTAGGAACTAATGTCTAACAGGAAATAAAGCACCAGCGCGCTTCAGTGAACAAATGCTTTCTAGGAAATTCTATAATCATATTATATATCCTACACTAGTCTGGAAATACTGCATTTCAAAGGCATTGATTAGGTTGATTGGTGGTGTGATACTGCCACAAGCATGTGAGACATTTTAAGTGTAGGTTAGCAAAAAATTACGTTTCCAATTTTGCTGCTGAACAACGATTTTAAGAATCATTTCTTTCCATATGTACCTACTTCAGTAGCGAATATTTATTACACCAAAATAAAAAACATTACACAATTCCAGGTAATGTACCTACCTAATAAGTATGACATAGCTTGGATGTTTCGAGACTTCTATAACTTGTTAAAACATTCAATCTATACGTTATAAAACACAAATTGCAATTGTATTCGTAGAAAGAGGGTCAACCTTTTTTTCGATTTGACAACATGTCGCCTTTACAGTTTAATATCGTCGGCTATCAGTGAAGGCGAATTCTGAAGTCATTTATCTTTCCTGTTGCTAAATGTAATAACTTTAACATTTGACCATCTGAGACGCAATTTGCGTAACCGTATGAATATTTGCATTTCTACATCATCAACGAAGTTTGCTATTGTATTTTTGAAAAAATACGGGTTTACGGGAAACCACATCGTCCATTCATAATTACTTTAAGGGAATTGCAATTGTGAAACAGCATGACCTTATTAGACCAAGGCGGATCTGTCGAAATATTCCACTTCTTGGATGTAAGAGGGGGCAAGCTAATTTTTGCTGGAATACCTTCAGTAGAACTCGCATAATAAAGGTGTAGATCCCTAGATCTGGGTGAGGTCCCGAACATTTTCAAAATTGCAAATATGTTTGTTTTTAAAAAATACCAATTATATCCGAGTTTTTGACTTACTATACTATGTATGTTTTCAGCCACGAAATTTGAATTTTCAGCACCAAGAACGGCGGTGACAACATTTTTATCATTAAGGCGATGTTCCGCATTGTATTAGCTATGTCCTGTACACATTTAGTTTCGCGCAACTCACTCGGTTTCAAAAATACAGTACCTATGTACGTTTTCAGCCACGAAATTTGAATAATTCTATATTTTTCGAATTTTCACCCCCAAGAACGGCAGTGACAACATTTTCAAAATAATGGCGATGTTTCGCATGGTACTAGCTACATCCTGGACAAATTTAATTTCGTGCAACTCTCACGGTAGAACAGGAAATAAAGTTTTAGAATTGAATTTTGCACAATATACTGTAAGTTAAAAATGTTTACATTTATTAGGTACAGATGTTGCAATAATTGATGGGAAAAGGGCAAACTAAGCAAGTTTTTTGGATAATTTTTTTAAAATATTTTAATTGTTCCGAGGGCATTCCAATTTTGCTAAAAAAAACTTTAGAAATTAAATTAGAAATCCAATTGAGAAACAAAGCCCCTCCATATCTTTTTAACCGTTGAAAATATCGAAAAACTAACTCTGGCGTCCCGCTAGCATTTCGTTCGAGGATTCCAGCAAACCAAACCGCACCCTTCTAGGTCGAAAAATAAAAAAGTTACGGGCTGTTCGCCAATTTCAAAAGTCACGTGACTTAAAACGTGACC